TACTACTACTACTACTACTACTACTACTACTACTACTACTACTATACGACGACGACGACAACAACGACGACAACGACGACGACGACGACTACTACTACTACCATAAGAACCCCTAGTGTGACCACACTGTTTAGGGAAAATGTACCTCTCATGCGCGAGGTGGGACTAGCGTGTTTCTCCACACAAAAAAGTCAACTGCTGTGTGTGTGATGAATATAAGAGCCTTGGAGGATTTTGGACACATTGAAAGGATGTGAACATATTTGCACTTTGTGGGTCCATCATCAGATCTCTACAATGCTAGCTATTTCTGTGTTCGAGACATCTATCCCCAGGCCATTGAGAGACATGCCACGGCCCGGCCCCAGTGAGATCCATATGGGATCGGATATTCCTTCCTGTCGATGATATCTATTATGTTCACTATGAGCTGGGCTGGTGGTGACCGGTGATGGAGCTCCGAAAAGATATCCTTTCGGTGGGCCTGTTTAAAGACATGAGAGGATCTTCCATGCCCAAACCATCCATGTATGGAATCTCGGAATGTGGTTTTATGCATGGAGAGAGGTCCATGGATGGGTTATACATGGGGTCAATGCATCTACCGTCTACCTAATTAATATTCACTAATAACTGTTGTGCAAAACGAGTGGTTTGGATTTGACCCGCACCAGGCACCACCGGTCATGGTGACTTGGGACGCAGACGTGGGAGATGGCACATGAAAATGGACACTGAGCAACACCTGCTACCCAGTGCTACTGCCCATAGCTCGACACCTGTGCCATACCTCCACACCTCTGCCACCCTTCCCCCAGTACCTCTGCCAGACCATCAAGAATAGCCAAAACGAGTGCCAAAACAATAATCTGCACTCAGACTAGGGCTGGAATGTTTGTCCCACCACGCAAAGGAAACACCACTGCCACAATTGAGACAAAAGAACTGCCACAACTTTGCCACCCCAATGTGCCACGGGAACCGTGCTATTTGCCACGATGTCTTTGGGCCCTCATTCACGTCGCTAAGCTACTAGCTGTGCCTGTGCGTGTGTGTATGCGCGTGTTTTGTTGTTCAGCAGGTATTTGCATTGGATGAAAAGGCTTTTCTGTGAATAGATTTGCTGTCGCCAGCATCCCGCAAGAGCATTCTGAGTATGCAGAAATATCAGTAAGTGCACTACCACTAAGATTACAATATAAAGCTGGAAGCCTCCACTGGAAGCCTCCAAGTGAACAATCTGGTTACACCAGTTGCCCAAATGCAATGGAATGTAGTGGATTATTTCGATTTGCTCAGCGATGGCGAGTTGTTTGCCGAAAGTGGCGATGGCTCAGCCAAAGCCAATGCCAATACAATGCTGGTCCCGTGTTCTGCAGTTGGTGATCTTGAGAATCCATCCAATCCAGGAACCAATTCTATTGAAGCTCAGCTTGGAGTGGTGAAACCTGAGCATGCATTATAGTTGAACTAGCTGGTGGCGCACCTAGAAGAACAACCGAATCGGCCCATCGTCCAAAAATCAATTCCAAAGGAACCCCGCTGTTAATCGGCATGCATGACAGCTATCCATGGATTCGTGAAAAAGCTCCAGAAGCAAAAGGCTCGATCTGAGCAAGATGTGTTGGCCTTGATGTCCTCTTTGGATTGCCAAGCCAATGTTGGCAAATCAACATCATCCAAGATCCAAGTGCACCTTTTGCTTGGAAACGATGGTCTCTCTGGCCTGTCGATGTCCGGCTGTCGCAAAGGGCCACACACCATCGCCCAAAGGTGGTGCGATTTGTTGGCTGCTTCTTCTGGATCAGACAAGAGAAAGGGGAGGAGCAGCAAGCAGGAAGAAACAGCTAAGCAGTAGCGCTTGAACGACCTGAGCACGTGGCATCTACCGCGCCTTGCGGTCACCGAGACGGGGCGGCAACAAGCCATTGGTCGTCTCGACATGTGATGCCGGAATGCCAAGCGATTGGTCGCTGCACTTGACAACAAGGTGTTCAGCTTTCTGTGTTTGTTCGTTTGTCCGGGACAGCCCTTATTTGTTGTACAGCCTCACCAAGAAGGGATTTATATACAATACACGTTCAATACACCAACTCACCGTGTCCAAATGCAGCACCAGCACACCGTGTCCAAACTTGTGAAGCATCTGAACATCAGCACGTAGAACTTTGTAACAACTGCTGGCGTGTTCCGTGTTAGGGTTTGGCCGTGTGCATGTTCGGATGTAGCAGTGTGAATCACTCAGCTGTGGCTGTGCGAGTGTTTGGTTGTGGCAGCGTGAGCGTTCAGCTGTGGCAGTGTGAGACTTCAGCTGTGGCAGAGTGAGAGTTCAGCTGTGGCAGTTCCAGTGTTTAAGCTGTAATTATCATTGTAGGGGCACACCCAAACATGTATACCCTCAGTAAAACATGGTGCAAACACTTCCCAAGTGTAGACCGTTTCAGGGTGCCAAATTCGACATGACAACGGAAGAAGAGGGGAGCCGTGTTCCCAAATGGTGCTCGAATTCTAAAAAAGTGTTATAGTTTGCATCAAGAACGATACCATCACAAAACCATGGCATTGTGTGTTTCCGATATTGATAATGTTTCTGTGACTTTTGTCTTCATGAACTTGGAACGAACATCACTTGAGTCATGTGTTTTTTGGGCTGGGCCGACATGACTCACATCAAACATGTTGCTTTCTTTTTCATCATCTCAGCCTCTATAATTCTAGACTCGCCCACCGAACCTCACCCTGATTCCAACCCAGAAACCTCGCCGACGCTGGCATCATCGCTCCGCAGCTCCGCGGCTCCGCGAGGAGCTTCACTCTGCTGCAGCTCCTTGAGGAGTTGATCCTCCCCGCCAGGTCGGTTGGACGGGACAACTCGCCGTCCAACGGTGGATATCTTCGCCCGGCTCCACCGGGTAAGACATGGTAAGACATCGTTTTTTTTTTTTTTTTAAGGGGTTCACCGGGCGAAAAGAACAGGTCTGGTTTGGAAGCGGTTTCATATTAAGATATATATAATATGTTTCTTAATAAAATGTTTTTTTTGATAATAGGTGTTTTCTGGCTGCAGAAGAATGTCCAGTTAGAGAAACTGGTTACAGAATATGGGCACATCCAGCAAAAACATGTTTCAACATCCCGGCAATAATTATTCTGCATGTTTAATATGAGGGACTGACAAATTGGGGTTGAAACGTGCAGGTTCTACCAAAAAAGAGGCATCATCATCCTAAGCACGACTAAAGTAAAAAAAACGCGCAGTCTTTACAGGCACGGGACAATCAGCAAATGACTGCATGATTGCAAAAGAACAACTTGATGAACTTGAACAGACTTGTGGGGGGAATTCCTTATACTTATTTGTTTGTTTGGACCAACATGTTTCATCCAGATGAGTGAAACTTCCTCTTTGCTGTCTGCAGGTTGAAGCCTCTCGGGGTGTTCTTTCTGGATGCAGCTTGGACTGGGTAGATTGGGGGGTGTGCTCCTCAAATCCACCTGTCTCCACCACTCCGCACTCTGGGCTTTCGAGAAGTCCCGAGTGCGCGTCGTGTGTGACCGGATCCACATCTTCGGGATCCAAGGATTCCTGGGGTTGTTCAAGCACCAAGCAGTTTTCGTCGGTTGGGCGTTTTCGGAAGCCCCCACAGTTCCAGCTTGAACGGGTGGAAGGAAGGAACAAAAAGGGACCGTTGTAGGGGTTACACGTGAGCTGGGGGAAGGGACAACATGTTTGTTTGTTTGTTGATGTGACCGTCTTCTTCCCCCTTTGGGAGGACTTTGCAAGTGTTTGTGGGATCTTGGAATCATGGGGAGGGAATATGGAATTGGTCTTGACATAGAATCCGGCCGCACACATCGTTACCAGGCAACAACCAAAGACCTTGAAATGCACAAAAACAAACTCTTCCGACAGTGCATCAATAAAGAATCAGATAGCAACAATAGCACCAAACCTCTTTACCACTGCCTCCCTACGTGCTTAAAAGAGCTGTACCACACTGCCGCACGAATCGAGGTCCCGTGTTCTGCCTTTCTGAGGTGAACGCGGACCTGGCGGCACGCCGCGCTTTCCGCGCGCGCTTTGGTGAGGTGCCGGGGGTGGTGAGTTCGTCACATCCGCCCCTTGAGAAGATGCTTGACTTGTTTTTGCGAAGGAGTCCGAAGGAGTGTCTAAGAAGCGACCAACAAATTAAAAAGGGCCAGGCCGGCAGTTCGCACCGGGACCGGTGTGTTGTTGAAGTCATGAACTCACCGAGCGGACGACCGAAAAGGGAGGTGCTACAAAGGTCAAAGTGAAACGGGCGACCTCGGGTGCCATGACCCACAGCCAAATGCCAAAGTCGATATATGTTTCTTGTTTTTGGAGGAGAGAAGCACTCTGCTGCACGCGATTTGTTTGGAGCCTTCATCTTGAACCAAACACACGGAATCTGGCAACCCCACCAGAATCGGCCCGTGTTTGCTCACCTTCCGTAGGAATCCAGACCTCTCTCCCATGGTTTTCATGGTTTGAGGGTTAACACGACAAGTGTTTAACCAGGGTCCGGAAATCACTCTCTTTACTTGCTCCCGAACCTCCTTTCGCAACATGCCCGCCCGCCTGCGCACTTGCGACATGCCAGCCCACATGTTTGGCGAAGCCGTTACAACATTTCATCTCTGACAGTGATCCTTTGCCAGGCTGACATGAGCGATTTGGACCAATGGCACGCACTGGAGGCAGCGCTCTCCAGTCAGAGCGGTACAAAGTGTGGAAGCCCGCCCTCTAGAGCCTTGGACTATTACATGGCGCTGTAGATGAATGTGATTGAATTTGTAAGTAAAAACACACCTTAACACACAGTTCCTGAAGATCGGTGCATGTGCATGTGTGTGTGCTGTTATTTGTTACACCATCCCACTATCTTGGGGGAGGGGTCGGCATGGTCGGATGCTCGTGTTCAACACGAAGATGGACAATTTTATCTTTTTTCTGGTGATGGTACTTAGTCCTGCTGTCTCAGACGTCCTGTCTCTTCAAGTCGAGACAGGACTAGAGACTTGTTTGTCATGTGAAGACAGGACTAGAAACAGAACAGAATCACTTTCTTTAGTCCTGTCTCAAGTGACTGCCATGTCACGTGACTGCCATGGCTCCGTGAGCAGTCACTCAACATGTTGAGACGTCTCGCCCGCCCTACCGCCATGGGACGCACGGAACGGCCACCCCGAAGGCCCGATCCGCGCAGGACCGAAGTCTTCGGTCGGGGACTGCCGGACGGCCTGCCTGCCTTCAAAACGGCCGTCGGGGTGGTTGAAAAGGCCCAAACACACGACTAAGGATGGACTGCCATAGGACTGCCAATCAATTGACCCCTCTGGCACCACCCCAATGGGGCGGCATATATGGCAGTCCCATGGAGTGCCTGGGAGGGGTCAACTGATTGGCAGTCCTATGGCAGTCCCATGGAGTGTTTGGGAGATGACCATCGTATGTTCGTGGATCGGTGTTTATTGACACAAGGAGACCGACCCCTTAGCACCGACCCGTCTACCCATTGAGGCCCATTGGGCCGATAGCTGTCTCCCGGACTTAAAGTACACACCTAAACCCCACAAAAATAGACCAATCTACCCATTTGAACACCCATTTCTTCGGGGGTCTCCCTGTTTGAAAAGCAACACAAACACACAAAACCACCTACACGGACCTCGTGGTTCCAACCGGACGGTCCCATCTCCGCCGGACCGGCAGGTCTCCGATCCAGACCTCTTCGGTCGCATGCACGGGCTCTTCTTGACGTGTGACCAAGGCGGGGAATGGTGGAACTGGCCGCACTGGCCATATGGAGCCATGCCAATGTGCCATATGACCTTGTTATGGTTTCTTATTTTTGTTTTATGTTTGCTTTCGGGTTTTGCGTGCTTGTTGGTTGTTGTTTTTGTGGTCAAAAAGGAGGGGGTGCAGTGGTTCTGGTCGTCGTTGCCATGGCTGCTATTATTGTGGTCCTTGTCATTGCTGTTGTTGTGGCAGTGGTTTGGTCATGATTGTTACCGGTTGCAGCAATTTTTGCTGCTGATGATATAGTTAAATATAACTATATATACACATTCCTGCTGAATCACAGAACTGACAGCTGATCAATTGGTTTCTGAAATTGTTTTGAGCATCATGAACAATGTAGGGCCTTGTTGGGCAGAAACTTATCCCAAGGCTTAGAAGACCCCAACAAATATATTGATCACCTTTGCCTGATGACCAAGAGAGGTTGAGAAGACCATTCGGACATATTAGAGCCCAATGTTGTGTTGGCATGTTCCATTGCTAAGCAGAGACTGCCTACAGTCCCCTTACAGTAGATTGGATGTCCAGCAACAACAGTTTCTTGCGAACTCTGATGTGGCTGACATGGGGTCCTTACTGCCACTCAGGTACCATGGGGAAAGAGACCAGTTTTCGCAGCTTCGCACTTTTCAAGTTGCTTTCGGGGCCCTTCCAGGACCAGTTTGTATGAATGTTGCATGCGATAGTTGCATGGTTTGTAGATGTTTGTATTGCATTTGGCTACTGATTTACGCTGATGTTCTAAGTAGTTCACAACTGAGTGGCCCAGATCATCCCAGATCCTGAAAACCCCGATGTCCTCGACAACCAGGGCGCCTGGTCGATCATCCCAGGTCTGCCGTTGGAACCGCCCGCGAAGCGGAGACGTGATGCGGAAAGAAAGCAGCAGAGACGGCGAGTTGCACTCATTGAAAGAATCATATCATATCATATCATATCATATCATCCAAATTAGGTCAATGTCAATTAGCCATACATCGAGGGTTTGGTGTATGATTACCCTCCCAGCAACAAACATGGAAGTGGATGGCACCACCTGTTTGAGCAATCGGATTTCATGGTCATCTGAAATATCAGGGCCATGCCATCCACGTAACCATGCACAGGATCTTGCGTCCATTTGAAATCGGTTGTTTTCCCCGCCCGACAGGATTAGGGAGTCCAGGGCCCAGCTGGGTGCCGAGGATGTAGACAGTTGATGAACAACCTGCCCAGACATGGATTGTAAGACCTCTTCAATAGCGGGGTTTAGTGATCTGATCAAAGTCTACAGTTCAGTGTTTTCAGCTGAAGTTTAGGACATCCGATCACCTCGGATGGTAGAACCGATTGGGACAAGAGTTCATCCTGGGTTAAAGTAGTAGTTTCTCCCAGCTTTGGAAGTAACCACATAGTTTCTACTTGAATCCTTCAAAGGACTGTTTATTCAAGCTTGGCATGGTTGCCCTTTCAGAACAAAACAATGTCCTTCCTTCCACCAATCTCTTCAAAAGCCCCCATTCGCATCAATTCACCAGGTTCCAGTCGACATGGCTCCGTTCCTGAAAGGTTCGACTCGTTTTCCATAGTTTTCCTTGTTTCAATGCTGACAAAGGCATACAGTATCCGCAGTTGCTCTCAAACTTATCTCAATTCGACCTACAGGATCAGCCCAGAATTCAACCTACACGATCGGCAGAAGGAAGCAAGGAGTTGTTATCCATACCCAGGAAAAGTGTATAACCTTTAACCTCCTTTAACCTTATTTTGGGAGTGGTGTCCCCACTAAACAAGAACAGGTAGAAGCCAGGTTAACCTTTATGTTCCAGTGAAACTGAAAGAGTCCGCATCTTCTTTTGAAAGAAAACATGTTCTTCTTTGGGGGTGCCAACTTGAGGCTCCAAATTTGCCTCATGTGTTTGGACGACGACGGGGTGCCAAACGACGCGAGGGCGTGTTTCGGCGACGCCACATAGTGACGGACATAGGCGTGTTGAACATGATATGTTTTCCAAAAAGCAAAACCATGCACTTAGAACCTAATAATAAACCCTTTTCCTGTTGAAAATCCCCAAGAGTGGACAGTTTGGTGAACCTTGGATTCTCCAATCGAATGTTCCGCCACCCGGTTGGAAACCACGCTCGCCTCGTTCGGATCATGGTATATATTGGCTCAGCTCGGATGTAGAAGAACAGCTGAACGTAGAGACGGAGGGAGGCCGTTTGCCTTGTCAGGACTTTCGAGACTGATCCAACAAAACTTTGAGAGAGGGACCTGTATAAAGTGTTTCAAGAAGAAGGCAGAAGACTTGTTTTGTTTGTGCAAAAATCAGGAGTCTGGAGTCTGGAGGCCACGTTCGCACTTTTCTTTGACTTGAAGTGTATATATATACATATTTAACTATAGTCCCGGTAGTCCCCTACAAAAGATAGAAAAGTCGATCCCTACTGAACATGTTTCTATCTATAAAGAGGCACCGTTTGTTGGAGGATCCCAGGGTCGGTGTCAGTGCAGGCGGGGTGGAGACAAGGTTCGATTAGCTGAGCTTGGTCGATACAGAGATCGGACCATGAGATGCGGGGAGAGATAGGACCAAATCACTGGAAAAGAAGGACGACCACTCAACCACTCTCCTTCCAGCCAAGCAAGCAACAGCCAAGGAAAACAACCAACCACTCAAGCCAAGCAGGCCTCTCACTTCATCTCACTTGTTGTTTTTGAAAAGCCTCAGTGCTCAGTGACTCGGGTCTCCCCGCCATGTTTCGGTCCTTGGCGCGGTGTGCAGACTGGTTGAAGCCCCGCATCAAGGGGGGCGTCAAACCGTTCTACCAGAGAGTGCGGGAGGTACCGAACGGGGGGGAAGGATGGATTTCGGGTGGCCAGCTGTTGCTGATGGAATCCATGTGATTTCACAGGGAGAGTAATGGTGGTTTCGGGTTTAGGGTATGGGAGTACTCTTTACTATCTACCCCTAGCTGATAAGGTTTGTATTGGCTCATGTTTACTGGCACGTTCACCCTCGCCTTTTGTTGCGTCGGTTGTGCTTGCATTTCCCGTTGGTCCAACTTTGAGAGACCCCAAGGGTTAGATGACTCCACCACGGAGTTCGACCGTATGTTGCCATGTACCGACCGGGTATACGAATGGGTGATCTGATCATCAAACTGCTCGTCCGGTCGCATGTCCTGTCGCCTGCGGATCGTTGGGTGATCGGGTCGTAGAAGACATGTTCTCTCGAAGCTCAAACCTGGGGCAGGAAGGCAGGTCCACTTGTCCAGCAAATTCAGATCAGCCTGTTGTTTTTTTTTTTGCGCCTTCGTGGCCCAGAGAGGTGGTGCCGGAAGAAGCTTCTTGGCTGCTGAGCTAGCATAGTTGAGATGCGGATGCGTGCTATAGAAATATAGGTCCTGGTCCTCCCCAAATGGACAGATATGATGCCCACACATCCATTTTTGTTGAAGCAGAAGATATTGATCTCCCACATTTGCTGAATTGGTTCTGAAGTCATGCACGAAACGCTGCAAGTGACGCACAGCGGTCGCACAGCGCTGTGTCGCGACCTGCAGGAGCAGAAAGAGCACCGCTATAGACAGCCACTTGGATCGCTTTAGACAGTCCATTTGGAGCTGACATCTGGAGAACCGTTCTGGCTCGCAGTGGAGCCGGGGTATATATAGCTTGGATGAGAAGTCTCACCAGACTCGACTCGCAGATGTCGAGAGTTTGGAAGGTGTGATCATCTAAGTGTCTTTCTTTCCAGGCTGCATTTTGTGTGCCCATGAGCATACCAGACTTGCCTGTTTGTTTGCACACTTTCCACGAGGCCACTTAGCCTGGTTCCGTACTCCACGCCTGCTGGGGGAAAGGAAGTATTCCAACAACCTGTCTCTGGAGGAAAGGGACTCATACCTGGTTACCTAGATCTTCCAACCATGCAACATGAAAACTAAAAGGCCGACATTTGTTGGCAGAGGAAAAGAGTCTTGAAAAGAGGGCCATGCCATCCATTTTCATCTTACTGTGTGGGAGGGTAAGCTGCCTATATGAATGATCAACTGTACTACCTTTGACCAACAGATGCAAAGAACATATTTTTCACCAAACCACGTGCTCACTTAGGGTGCCGTTCCTGCGCATCAGCAAAGACTACAGCAAGTGGCCTGCACCCAAGGAGCCATGGCATGCAAAAGGAACAAAGAAGTTTTCCTTTTCTTTTCCGTTGCACGGAAAAGCCTTTGTGAAAACACGTCCTCGGTCGCCATGACCCATCGACCGCTCATGGGCCGTTATTGGGATAAACGGTGGCCCGATGGCCTCCTAGCGATGGCCTCCAACCTAAGAGCGATGGCCTCTGTTCATGACCCATAGAAAAGGACCTTCCCATTTCTCCTGCAGCTGAGGGGCCACCCCACCGATCGTTGATCTTCATCGGATGACATAGTTCATTCAGACTCTCCCCTGTTTGTTGAACCTTACCCCAGTTGAATCCCGTTCTAGACGAATTCAGTCGTTGGACACTGATCACAAGATACAATAGTACTCCGTGAGTCGTGGAGCCAGGGTAACATGAAACATCATGAAGCTATAGACGTTGGACTTAGTGGGAGGAAGGACAAACAATTCTTCTTGAGTGGCTCCGCTAGATTCATTTTCAGGGGTCAACATGGGTCAACCAGGTGTTGATCATTTTTGATCCATACCTGTGTAGGCCTAAGGCTCCATTTGTTGATCATTTCCATGTAGGCAAATATTCCCATCCCAGGGATGGTTAGGGATAGCCACATCAAGTTGTAAAACACCCGTGACATCCCGGCGAGGATTCGCATTCAACATGAAACTCCTAGACCGACTAGACCGAGCGCGTGTCACACGCACCGATCGCAACGCGCTTGCGCACCATTCCGAATACCATCCTCCACAAGAGTGAAGATATAGCAGATTATAGCAGTATACTGGCAAACAAAGTGACTGGAAACACTCGGGATCTTTGGGTACTTCAGGTCACTCTCGTGGAAGCCGAGTTCATCACCTCTTTTGCGGACAGTATAGTCATGCCAGCGGCCAGCGGCCATGCCATCCACTTCCGTGATTTGGGGGTATCATGGGTATCCCAGATGGACTCCCAGATGGTTGTTGTGGATCTTGACAACTGATTTGAGGATGGCAGAGACTGTGACAGAAGATTGGTCAAGCTGGACCTGGCCCAGGCATTCCGAGAACACGGCCGTCGTATGTGGTTCGAAGCTGGACCTGTCGCTCGTTCGAAGACCTACCTGCACCCTCCTAGTATCTTGGAATATGAGTTCACGTTGCTGGGTCTGTCCGTTCTTACCTGCAACCGTCAGTAATTAAACTACTGTAATGATGACTATTTTTCAGAAAGGCCTTTGTGTTAACCATTTCAAATAGGATAGACCCAAAGTACACGATAGTACAGGAAAAAAATGATAAAAACGGGTCATGTGTCAGAGTATTGGGTACGTGTAAAGTCAATTCGGAAGACATCGGGAGACCTCCCAGAGGCGTTCCGACCCCCTGGAAGAAGGGACCGTTAGACGCCACAGCCGATCGGTTTCTTCGGTGGACTTTCCGGTTTCTGGGAGAGAAACATGGGGCACCCGCTGGGGTTCAGCAGTTCTTGTTTAAACGACTTCTTCACTTCTCGACACCTGGGCTCCACCTCCGGCCTGTCACCCGGACCACCGGCAAGCCACCGAGCCGAAAGCGGGTCCATGACATACCAGACACTTCAATATGATATACCTCAACCTGGACCTTCGTGTAGGGGTGTCCTGGCTGGAGATCCCTGGGTCGTGGTGGGCTGGGGCTTCCAGCCAGGTGACCCCCGACATGAAGGTGCTGGAAGATTTACCTACATGTTACCCTAGAAAATCCCTGAAACCACTCCAATCTGGGTAAACATGCCAGTCCCAGTCCCATGGAGTGTGTGTTTTTGCATCTTCCGTCAGCACTGTATAATTCAGCCTGAAAACATGATCCATCTCCCGCTTCGACCTGCTTCAGGAGATGGGGGTCATGGTGGGCGATCGAGTCCGTGTGCTCTACGGCACCGAGAAAGGAAAGTATGGCGTGGCTCGGTTCTGTTTAGAGCGCCGTACGGCGAAGCGGATCGAAGCGTGCCTTTCGTAAACATCCGTTGGATTCCATTGCTTTGTCTTTGTTGTTGTTGAGCATGGAAAAACCAGACTTTGAGCCAGGCAGAACAGATGAAGAGATACACTAAAAAGCTGAAAACAAAATAAGCCAACAAATCAAAACAATCCAAAACCATTGACCCAATATGACCCAATAGCTTTTGCTGCACCAACATCCATAGTTTGTTTTTTGGTTATATATCTTTTGTTATGTTTGCACATGTTCAATGATTGTGCTTCATGGCAGCAGTGCAGAGCATGTCACCCCTTCCATACCGCAGACCCGCACCCAGGGTGGGGCCCTGTTCTGTCGACCGAAGCAGCGTGGGTGATCGGTGATGGACGTGGCTTTTGGGATCGAAAACACCGGGAAGAGACCCACATGGAACATCATGGAACCTCGTCCACGACGTTTGGAAGACGATAGTTCCAACATACAAACCGGTGTGGTTGTCAGGTTCCATGTGGATCTCCTCCAGGGCATAGCTAAATTGGGGGCTTGGGTAGGTTGTTTTTGATTCGCTGTGAGTTGAGAATGGCTGTGGGCGGCCACTTGTAATGATCTATCAAGGGTTGGATTGACCAGTTCGGTAGATGGAATCGGTACAAGAGTGACTCTAAAGCTGAACGGCTTGTGCTACAGATCATCAAACGGGGTGAACTCAGCACTTGAACTGGGCAGGGTGTCCGCTAAGCCTATCGGCCCCATCTTAGCCTTCGGTTCTCGAGGAAGACGGGTCTTTTGAGGAACTTTTGAGGTCAATACAAACTCAATAAGACCCTTCACCCGGATACTATCCTTGTCACTACTGGCCACCAAATCGCTGTCCAAACTGGGAGCATTTGCATCTGCCACTGTTCATCACATTGCACTTAATTAAGAGTTGGGTGCGTTCTATCACCTTTAACTGTCGACAAATTGTACAATTTATACATTATCAACAATTTTGAGAAAGGCCTTTACTAACCATCGTCATCCCACTGTTACTGGAATGAGATGTACTCAACTTTAGAGTATTGCATACACTTTACCATGATGAACCCTGGAGCTGTTCTTTCTCGAGGTAATTGATGATAAACTGTTCATTTGGGTGTGGGTGTGTTCAGTGTGTTTTAATCTTGGCTTCAGAGACCACTCACATAGGAGAAGAGGAGTGATAAGAGGTCTTCAATTTCCAACCCACCATCTTTGCTAGTTCAGCCTGCCTGCGCTCCACGTGCCTGTTTGAGCGGCCCCGCTTAAGGTCATCAGCCGTATTCTTCATGACAAGAACCAGGTTGGCAGTAGCATGCTAAGCTGTGTCACTTGACCAGACACGTTCAGAGTACACACAGCTTTTCAGCTTTGGCAAGAATAATGTGACCATGCATTTGTTGAGAACTTACTCCGACTCCTCTATAGATGGTGCCAAGCCATGACATCCAAGGGCCAACAGGGCTAGTTGCCCAATGTTGTTTGGATTTTCATGTGGAATGCCCGGAATGCCCCGTAAGAGCTTGAAGAGCTTGCATTGATTGTCAAAGGAATGTATATAGACATGTATAGGTTTAGATGCAGGGAAGGTTGGGTCGTTTGCAACGTTTGCTTATGCATGTTCCATTTGTTGCAAAGTTTGCTTATGCATGTTCCATGTTCAATGTTTGGCCATTGCCTGGATGCCACCTTGATTTCATCGTTTAGCTTTGAGGTTTGGACCATGTTTTCTCTTTCGTTTCATGGGGCGACATGTCTTTGTTTGGTTGAAGGTCATTGAGCCAATGAGCCTTGAGAGGTTGAAGAAGTTTGAACCCCCGGCAACTCTGCGGCTAGTGGGTCATCCTCATGTGAAGCCACGGATGGCTAAACCAGGTGTGGTGTTTACTGTGTCCAACGGCCAGGGTTCGGATGGTTGATTGCCAATGATTTGCCTTCTCCGGCCCAGTGGGAACATGCTGTAAACCATGTTCGTTTGGGAAAGCACCGTGTTTTGTTTCCGCGTGTCCAAGCGTCTCAGTACCCCAAGCAGTTTTGAGAATGTGAGACAATTCCCTATAGGTCCAGTCTGGCCCAGGTCCTGAACACCTCATTTGTTTACTTGTTTTTTTCGTCGTGTTCTTGTATGACCAACTCCAGATCCCTACAGGTCAGTTCCTGACCCGTAGGGATCTGTTTTGGTGCCAAAAGGATTAGGACGTCCAGGTGCTGCCCCTGCAGTTGTTGGATCCACCGACTGGTCGCCGCCAGGTGGTGGTGAATGGGACCAATCTGAAACGTAGCCATGGACTCAGCTAAGTTGGATTGGGTCAAGGGCTGTTTGAAGCAAACTGGTCTGGGTCAAGACCTGTTGAATTTGTTTGGATCTTTGGGGACTCAATGTGCAAAGGAGCCAAACACAAATACTCAAGGAGGCATGTGACGTGGCTTTGTTTCCGTGTTTTGTTGCATGTTCTACCTACTTGAAGATGGGTTTTACATCATTGATCTCTTAACAAATGGAACACCCATGGTTCAAGGGTCCCTCTTCTTGCTCCTTTCCTGACTTGATTTGCTTTGTTCTTCTTTTTTATCACTTTCTTTTCTCCTCTCCTTATTGTTTTGTCGTGTTCTCCTTGTTTTGTTTTTCCTGCTTATTGTTGTTAATGTTATTTTGCTTCTAACTTTTTTGTGTTGTTAGTTGTTTGAGTGTTCTTCTTGCTCGCTTCTCCTTCTCCTTGCTTCTTGTCCTACTTTCTTTTGCTCTCCTTCTTCCTCTTCTTGTCTTGTTGTTTCTTATTTGCACTTGATTTGATCTCTTCTTCTAGTTTGCTGAATATTGGCTGTATTCATTGAAATTGATTCTCAGGGTGTTGGGTAGTCTTTAAACAATTGGTGACTGGTTGGGCGCTGTGTTCTCGTTTGGTAATTAGCAGGATGCCGTGATTGTTTAGTCTTGTAATTGGTTGGATGCTGCTACTGTGAGAGTTAGCTCACAAGGCGCGCTCTATCCTGATGTTTCGGCCCTGTGGCTAGCTTGACGAAGCGACCGACCATCGTGAAGCCGACGAACGGACCAGGCAATTGAGGTGTAACAGTGGTCCTTCCAATGCAGTATCGACAGCACTGAGACCCTTGCGTTGACCCTTTTTTTCAAACCAGCCCAATGTAGGCAAGTATTCCATACATGGATTGTTTGGGATTCGATTTCAGGTGGTTCATTTGGACGTGCTTCGGACTACAACCTATTCGGACGGTGAACCGAATACCAAACAGGTGGTGAACTCCACTTCAAATTAATTCAGGGAGAGTCATTGTCCATCAATCGTCAACATTCAGATCTGAGGGTCAGGTCTAGGTCGGTCCCCATCTGGTGCTCTCCCCCACACAGCATCTCTCTGTCGAAAGGCTTTTGGCATCCGGAACCCGGGCCCGGGAAGCCTTCACGAGTCACGGTGGAGCAGCTTGGCGAGTCACGGAAGCTTGTGCAGCCGTTTTTGCTTCGCACCGGGTGAAAACCCCACGCGAGGGAGTCACTGGTTCTGTATGACCTCCAGCTTTGTTTGTGTTTTTACATGTCAATGTTTTTACAGTTTTTTGACAATGGTTTCCAGTTGGCTTCTGGTTTGAAACTATGAGTACTGTTGTTCCTTGCTTGTTGCTAGCTGATCGCCACTCTGCTCAAGTTTTGGTCCAGCCATGCGACCTGTGTCTTCAGCCCCCAAACTCTGACCCTGACTCCGGAAGGGGGCGGAAAAAGACCAGTTGGAGGGTACTGATCACTTCACGCAGTTCTTCACTGGTTTTAAAGTGTTTTTTGGTGCTTAAGTCCCCGAGCTTGGCTATACCTGATGTGAATGGCAGATGGTAGCAGACTCAAGATTATGCGGCAAACAGGCCGCCAACAAAACATCTTGGATTCTGAAGCACCAAGAATTGATTTTACCTATATATACCTTTTTGGAGGACCAACTCCGCTTCCCGCCATTAGGTATGCCTGACTTTGGGCCAGCAACAGAATCAAGAGGGGGCAGACATTGTCTATCTCGCTCTTCTCCATGCAGGTTCACCAACAGTTCCGGTCCGTTTTAGATCCATCTAAATTATATAAACGTATTTTCAGATGTAGTGCATTCTTTCACATGTTTGAAAGTACAAGAACTTGCTACGTAAGAAATCCTAAATCCATGCGTAAGAAATCAGGACATGTCTCGATCCATGTCCCTTTGTGTCCCTCTATTGTTGGATGCTGGCAGCATCGGACCGCGGACAGCGGGGCGCATCAGGCTCCCCATCCATGTGACGAATGTGGCGCTCATTGATCCCGTCACCAAGCAGCCCACGCGAGTGAAGAGGCGGCCCAAAGACACACGAGCTCATATGGCGCCCACCGGGTGGGAAAACAATGGGAGAAATCAACAGAGTCAGAGGTGAAGTGACCTGAAAGTAGGACCCTACTAACCTGGCATACCTATATAGGATAGTCTATATATATAGGGTTCTTCAATCTCTGTTGGGAAGCACCTGGTCTCCGAGTTTGGAACACTCGCTTTCCAGGCTGTAACTCGCTTTGCCAGAAAGGTGTCAGTCGAAGGTGAAGCGAAGTGCGCATCCTCGGTGAAGAAAGCACCGGCTTCGCTCAGACCAGTTCGCAGACTGCACAGACCATAGTTGGACTGCTTTGAGACAAGCTCACTCGGAAGCAAGGCCCAAGCCCACAGCCCATGGGCCTGGGCCTTGCAATAAGGGGTCCTGCAGCCTGAATGATCTTGAATCTCCTCGAGATCCATATAGTATACCTGGTTTTTCGCTCAAACCTGCAAATGTCTACGCCAAATAGATGTTCAAGACTTGATATCTATATCATTCTAATGTACACTCTTGATTAATACACCCCCATATGAATAGGATTTTCCATTTCAACCGGGTGCTTTATTAATCAAGAGTCTACAATCTGTCTCTCTATATATGTTTAATTTACCTTCTCGAGGTCTAGCCTCACCTGGATGGATTGATGCTGAGGTCCCCTTTCTCCTGGATTGGTGCTTCGGTCGATGTTTTCAACCCAACTAATGGTGGTCCCAAATAGATTCTGGCACGGTGTCCAATACCATTTTAGTGGGGTTTTACTTTTCATATCTATTTTGGGGTCTATTTTTCTTTAACCAGAAAAAGACCAATAACCCTGTGGTTTGGAGCAATCCAAGCAGGCAGCATTTCAACTGATCAGTGGCAGCCAGTGGTTTGGAGCTTCTGGAACTTAAGAGGACCGTTCTTTCATCTCTCCTATCTCTCCTTGTGATTCGGCGATGGGGTGGAAAAGCCACTACCGCATCTACAACCAGCACACTGTTTTCATGAAGGCTGCACTGGCTGTGTCTCCATGGGTGTTTGAGAGCAGGACTACGGTTGGCGACCCGGTAGTACAGGCGTGGGATCTTGCGGTGGACACTGCCTTCAACGGTGTTTCTTGAGAAAAGCAGGCAACCCTTTGCGATGGCTCCCAAGGCAAGGCAATGTTAAGATACCTGGACCTTCATTACATAATGATATTTTCCACGTTCCGTTGGCTTGGCAAGACCGGTTCGGCCGCCATTTTGGGAGGTCCAAGCAGAGTCGGTCTCTCCCTCATGTCAAAGGGCTGAACAAAAGACCCCTCCGCGCAGCACTTCCGATACGTCCGTCGAAGGCGCTACACGATGAACGGCGAAGGCGTACGGATCTCTAAGGTCCAAAGCTGCAGTGCCCAGGGGGAGTTGTTTTTTTTTTTCCTAGGGCGCTGTGCTCCGTCTGTGTGGTTTGTGGTCGACAGCGAAGGTTAGGTTCTCGTCTCTAGAGATGTCCAGTCCGTGAAGCTACGATAGTATACTTGTTGTGTGAAGCACCATTCTTGGATTTCAATTTGATTTGATGTACAGGGCTCTTGGTCAAAACAAGGAGACCCACCGGCTGACCGACTGCTGGTGTCGGTCGTTCAATGGTGAACTCCTTGGATGAGCCCGGCTCGCTCTCGCGTGAGAGTGATCCAATCCTGCCCTTTCACACGGAAATTTGCTTTCCAGTTGCGTCATGCCCATCCCCGACGACCCATGTATGACCATTCACCCAAAACCACCAAATACCATGTGAAGTCGGTGCTGCTATATGATCAAATTATGTTGGCGCCATATCTTGGTGCTTTCGCATGATGGATCCTTTGGGCAGACAACCCATGCCCACTTCGCGTGTTGCATCGGTCGACGTCGACCCGGCGCCGGGGGCGGCGCAGGTGTCGGGATGTGCGATGCCGGAGCCTGTGCCGGTCCGCCCCAACGAGCGGGAGCTCCTGTGGAAGAAGCATGAGGAGCAGGTGTTTTTTTTTGCATGGGTTTGTGATGTGTAGCCATATATTAGAGTTTCTTTTGTTAATGAGTTATTATATTTTAATGCGTTGCATTGTTTGTTTTTTTTGCTTAATACAGTTACAGTATGTTCTTTCTTTTTCAATGGGGTTACTTGAGAGTTTCACACACAAAAAAAAGTATATCAAATTATTGACGCCATCTATTTTTTCAGTGACTATGACAAATGACTAGTGGCTTTTACCAGGTTAACCTTTTTCGGCGAACTGGTTGGAACGAGAGTCTCGCATCTGCAGGAGACCGTCCTGCTGCAGAGCAAAGACCGACGTGGACCTCCCAAGGAGCGACGTAGGCTTTGGTATTGCGAAAACAGCCCGACCGGTCCCTCTAAACCTACACCCAGACACCACCCATGGGACTGCCATATATGCCAACATTGAGCCCTCTGGCACCACCCCAATGGGGCGGCATATATATATATATATATGGCAGTCCCATTAGTCGTGTCTGGGACAGGGATTGGTTTGACCTCAGACACCTGACCTGAGGATTCGGGTCTGACCCCGCTTCTCGCATCTGGGTGGGAGATGATCCGGTTTGTGCTCACCCTGCTGAAGTTGATTGGGTACCTTGGGTCTCTAAACAGGACCACAGAGCCAAAAAGGCCATTCGACGTCTACCCTGAAGAAACACCACGACTCTCCCATGGACCCAGTCCAAACCAGGTGCAGCAACCGAACACCGAACCGGACTCATGGCGGCCAATTCTGGCATGCCGACCGCGAACCCGCCGGTAGACCGCAAGACCGCGAGGACCGTCCCACTGTCGGACTGTAGGATGGCAGGGTTTTTTTGTTTGGTACACTTGTAACAAGTGCATCGCTACGTTCGTAGCTTCTTGTTACTTTATATATTACAATTATTATAGTAACTTCTTGGTTTCTAGCTACTAGTCGTAATGCCCTTGTTACTAGCAGCGATGCACTTGCCACAAGGTGAGTGACCGGATGGTTCCAGCAAAAAGGAAGAACACCTCCCAGGCCCAGGTCATGACCGAACTGGAGATCGCGAACAGGTCACGAAAACAGACTCTAAAGAGGTCTTTAAACAGAGGAAAAGGTCGTCTTTGAAGATCCTGGTCCCATTTCACATCATTACAGTAGATGTGTTCCACCATCCACAAGACCAATCTGAGCCCCAAGAACTTCTGTTGAAACGGCAGTTCTCGTGTTCGATCCCGGGTTTTGATTAATATTGATTTCTTCCACTCAAGCTCAAGCTTCCCAAAATTACCCGACATGGAGATTCACCCCCACTTGCAACTGTTGAAAGTCCCTCTACGGAAGCGCAAAGTGTGGGAGTTGCGTGCAAGGTCGTTTTTGGGAGCTCGGAAGACTAAGCCACTGCGTGTAATTCTGGAAATCTTCCACAGTATGTCCACCACAGGTGGCTGTAGTTCATTTAGCCATGATCGAAGGCTAGCTAGGTGACATTCACAGTGTGGAACGTCGCAGATGGTACAAGTGTTGCAAGTATAGTTGCAAGATGATGTTCAAGTTGTGACACACTATATAATAAGTATAAATAATGAATGATAATGCAGGTCACCAACTGGAATGTCATGATTCATACACCATGAAACCAACACAACCACTGGTGGAACACTGGAAAAGCCCTGGTAGAGGGAAACCATTCTACTGTATATGTTTGTACTTTGCAGTGCTCTCTTGCAACATGCGATGTTTCGTCCATCTTACAGAAGTTGCCACATGTTGCCACCACCTGGAAGCAAGATGACCAAAGACCATGTTTTTTGACCGACTGAAGTAAAGGAAGTTCCCTTTCAGGTCCGCTACTCAGACCAATGTTTTGATGTTTAAGTAGAACTTGCCCAAGCTGTCGGTTTGAGAGATATTCGAAGCTGTCCTGGGGTTGCTCAACGTCCCGCACGCGTAGGGTCTTTCAACCTTCAACGCTCCTCGTTCCATCGTTCCTCGCCTCGGTGTTTCGCGGCGTCCAGGAGGACATCTTTGGCAACAAGGACAATGTAACACGTCCGGTCCATGTCGGTCGCCGCGGTCCACGGTCACGTGACAGTGCGGGTTCACGAAGACGGGAGCACACGACACGCAGTGAAACTGATCAATTGGAATTACCCAGACACGTCGTGTCTGGGTTAACCGGCTCAAAGTTCGGGAGGAGCGGAACGACCCTTGGAAGGTTCGGAAAGGCTAATAGACGCCCCAATGCTTTGGGTGTAAGCGCCATGGGAGTGGAAGTGGTTTTGTTTGGGAGATTGCCATGGTAGGGCACCAATTTGTTTGATTTTATCGGCGGGGTCTTTCTGTGCAGTCTGTGCAAAGTAGAGGACTCGCTGCCGCTGTTTGGAAGACGGATCGTATGCGAGGCATGAGGCCGGGCCGTTGAGAGAAGAACCTGGCGCCATTGAACCACTCCGGCCTTTAAATCGAATCGAAGTGGCAAATGGAATCCAACTATTTCGGAGTGGCCTCGGGGTGACGGAGCCGGTTTTGGGCCGAGCGTCCGCGTCCGTGGACTGCAGGAGCATTTCAAGAGCTTGGTGCGCCTGGTCCGCGAGCGGCGCGCGGTGCAGCAGCTTCGCGCCGAGGCCGAGGAGCAGCGCCGAGGTCCGTGGTGGTTCGGAGACGTCGTTTCGGTTCGCAGAGAGGCGGGACAAGCACCAAGCACAAAGATGCCTGGTGAGCCATGTTCGGTTCCCCCATTTGAGTGGCGGGATCCCTGCGCAACCATGGTGTGATCGAGTCGTCAGATTGAAGGATGTGGACTGATGCCAGAACCCTGAAGAAGCAGTGGAGCTGGTGTTTGCTATGTTTTGTTTCTTTTGCTGGTATAGTTGTTTTGTTCTTTGGCGAAATGCGCCAAGAAGGGATCATGTGTGAGATCATAGCCAAGCAACCTTGGTCATGAGGTGTGCCCAGGAGACTGTTCTGTTATCTTCCGTCCACGTTTGTGTTGTATCAAGTTCCCACACCGATGTTTCCCCCAAGAGGCCTAAAGCCTCAGCTCCGCTCTTTCGCTACGCTTCTGACCTTCGGCGCCGTGCCAGCGACAGCCATATGACTCAGTCGCGACCCCCGTCCGCTCCGCTCGGTGCGGAAGGAGTGAGCGGAGGTCTCGGATCCATGGGGCCGGAAGAAAAGGCGCGCCACAGGTTCGCCGGGGTGTGGAGACGAATTCGCACGGAACCCCCACAGGTTCGCAGTTCGATAGATGAGTAAAATAAGCATAGCAAAAGCCATTTGAAGGCCGGCCAGTGTTTGCGTTCAATGTGTGTGTCGGCCAGTGTTTGTGGTTGGTCATACAGAGTCAAAAAAACACAATGAACAAAACAACCTCAACTTGGCCAGTTCCCAGTTGCCGGTGACTCGCCAGGGACGCGGCGGCGGATTTGATTCCCGCGGCCACCCGGTTCCCTGGGACGCGTTGGTGTGAGTGGAGTCGGTGACATCAATCGAATTCCCGAAGAGAATGAGCTTCCCTTACAAGTCAGTTTGACCTCATTTTACTGGAGATGGTCATACAAGACCAGCACTCAAGGAGGTCAAGGACCAGGTTTAACATGGTTTAACTTGGTCCGACTGGACTCGTAGGGTTCAGCGGAAAGCCATCGTCTGTTTCCAGCGTCACCAATGCTGTCATATACCTGGAAGAGGAGAGGCTTCTCGGCTTCTCGAGTTTGGGGTGGCCAACTGGTTTGCAGGACTCCGTCCGGGATGGCCTGTCCACCGATCATGCGATGGGTCTGCAACAAGGCGTTTGGCGTTTGGGGGCGCTTTTGGTGTTTGACGCGAAATCCTCTCACTGGATTTAGTAGCTTCCACCCACTGGTCACCCCTTTTTGCAAAGCTTGATGGCTCGGACGTTTGGTGCCACGTGCTCACGTTGAAAGGGGGACATGGGACAGCTTTGTGGAGTGAGTATCAAAGACTCCATGGTCATAAGTCATAAGTACCTAACCCCTACCCCCAAGCGAACCGAAGATCATCATGATTGAAAGAATCAGATCGTACCATCAAAAGACTTCACCCCTCAATGATATCAAGATCTTAAAGGCAAAAGTGCAGATCACAAGTACAACATACAAGCGCGTGAATGCCGGTCCAAACTCTCAGTGTTGATTCTTTTCCCCTGTTATGTACATCTCCAAAGGAACACATCGCCCAAACGTAGATCCTCTCAACGGCCGGCCGTGCTCCAGCTGCCGCTCTGCAGCGCCATCGCGCCTCGCCATGGCGGAGTTGAAGCTGCGCGAAAAGAGTTTGGACGCAGCGCTGTTGGAGAGCATTGGCACCGCGCTGCAGGAGCTGCGGAACATCCACCGGTGAATCCACCGGTGAATCTCTTCAGAGGGGCGGAATCGAGAGCGGACGCATCAGTATGGACTAGGCCGACCAAAAGGAGACCCATTTTTTCGGTTCCTACGGGGTTTGCATGGAATTCGCCCTCAAATTCTGAAAGCGCGGTCCATCCTATGAATCTGGAAGGCTGCTCAGCTGAAGATCAGAGCTTGCATTCGGCCTTCAGTGTGAAAGAAGTAAATCCAATACTATACATGGAAGCTAGGTTGGCTAATGGAGAATCTCGATTTTTAATATTCCTCCCACAAATTTGGATTGTAAAACCTCTTCAGGCTTGGGAATTGCAACTTTTTGGTGACTACTGACTACTGTTTGGTCCACTCCTTCTTGGGGCCCCCGAAAGCAGGACAAGTCACACAACATCATCGCTGTGGACTTGAGTGATAACGCTTTGGAGGATGAACAAGGCGTCTTGGGCGCCGATGGATTTGAAGAATTAAAGATCATGAAGGCATGTCAAGCATGTCGTTAGAGGAGTTGAGGACCATCGCACCATGAATCTGATCAAAAGAGTAAGATCCTACTAAGGCCACGCCACAACCAGGGTCCGATTCTGTACCATCAACCACCCCTCAAATTCTTGAAACCAATCCTTTGAGAGTCCTTGGTATTATACATAATTTAGCGTTGAAGTTTACTTGCTCCCGAAATCATGAACTTTGTTCATATCTACAGTATAATTGCCGTCTCTTCCTCATGAATTCTTCGATCTTCCCACTGGCTCCGTTTGTATAAGTCCTCCACCCCTAGTTCTGGCCAGGTGCACAGGTCTTCGGCTACCTGGCCAGCAATGAGTTGGTGCAGCGCCTGGCCATGAACGACAACGAGCTGGGCGTCTCGGCTCCGGTTCCGGTCATCGGTCCGTCCGGTCTGGTCCGGGTGACCGAAGGAGGACCGGGAGAAGCGGTTCAGACAAAGGTTCCAGACACGGACCGTCCCGTTCTGGGACATATAGGACTGCCACCCCAGACAGACCTGGCACCACCCCAGACAGACCTAGTCCGGACTGGCTGGCAGTCCGGTCTAGTCGTGTCGTGTCTAGGGAAGTGAACGACTCCGGTGACCGAAGGACTCCAGGAGACGGTCACAAACAGGCAAACAGGCCTGTTCTTGACGGTCATATCCGATACACCTTGTTAGAGGGTCACTTTGAGGGTCCTGGTTGTCGAAAAGATGCATGTGGGACTGAAGAGTTGATGATTGTCCCAGAAAAGATCATCATAAACATAAACATATATTAGTTTCTTCAGTTCTCACAACACCAAACATTGGTTCCATCATGTAAATGTCCTGTGAGCAGAGAGCTTTCGTTCTTCTACCATTGGATCGCAAAACATGACATCGAAGCTGTGGTCCCATAAATTGTCAAGACAGTACACAACTTGTTGAAATGATGGATACTTTCATGATCTTCCATGAAGATGTTCCAACATCTTCCCCCTAAATAGGACTCCCCCTTCATCCCCACTTCAGACCGATCCAGCCAAACTCAGGCGATATGGCGGGTGTGGCGTTGGCCAAACTCTTGGAGACGAATCAGGTGCTTCAGCAGCTCGTGCCTGGGCGAGACGTCGACCGACGGTACGTTTCCGCTTATTGCACAAGGTTTGCCGAGTTCAGTAATCCCTAAGGATCCAATCCAAGTACCTTCTCAGAAGGTGATTGGAGACACTGCTATGTAGGTTTGGAGGGTCCAGTCGTACCTTCTGAGGTTCGGTACACCTGGATCCCTAGGGATTTTCTTCTCACGTGAGAAGCAGTCATTACTCAATTCAGGTACTACAGTAGGGGTTTTGTTATTTCTCTGGCTGTGGGTCATGGCACCGCACCGACCAGCGAATAGACTTCTACTACCAAGCTAAGAAGGTCAACCTAGAGGGGACCTACCAAGCTAAGAAGGGCTCCGGGGCTCCGGTTATTTTATTGCCCACAGCCATATATGTATAGTGCTGTAGTACTATGATCATCATCATCTATTGTTATGTATATGCGAGTGGGAGCATAGAGAAAGGGACTCAAAGGGATAGACAATAGATTGGACCTCTTGGTGCTTTTTTGGAGCTGAAACATGGTGGAGTTTGGAGCATTGGTGTTCTGATTTCTTCAGGGTCGCGTCCCAATTCAGCGAGGGAAAGGTCCTAAGGGTAGCCCTACATCCAACTCATCTTTCCTGGTCTCATCGAAGGGCCCCTTCTAAAGTGGATCCCTAAGGATCCGTTTTCGTACCGAACCTCAGGTACGGTGATGTGTTCGACACTGCTATTTGCCGGGGGGTTTGGAGGATCCGGTCCAGTCGTAGGGTATCTTCTGAAGGACCCCCCTTTTGGGCAGATGAGGCTTGAGCGAGTCGAGTGCTGACGTGGCGTTTCCGGTGAGCATCCGGACCTAGCCTACTCGCCCGACCGAGTCGACTCATACAACATCAAGATGCAGATTTTTTTTACTTTTTAGCTTCCACATCCTGATTGATGTTCCAAGGAGCTTCAAGGCAATGCCATCTTCACCGTCGGCGTGCAGGCCCTGGCAGAGGCCTTGCCAAAGAACCGCCTCTCAGCACGACGCTATGCGTCGCTATGCGCTATGCGACGCTCGTGGACTGTTTGTTCTTTTTTTCCTGGAAGTGGAAGTGGAGGTGGATTTAATGATTCATGCAAACTATTGATTAATCCACCCCATGTGAATTGAGCTATAAACTTCGGGTGTAAAGTTGGGAATGGTTGAGAGATATCGTTTTCCTTGAGGTGAATCATCGGACGAAGGGATGTGATGAGATTTGTATACTTTCTGTTGGAAAAGTACTTAGACAGCATGAGACACTATGGGACATTTGGAACAGTATGGCTCTACATCAACTGGGCAGTGGTGTCTAGGTGTTTGTGCAACCTGAAGGGCTTTGTCAGCAGGGTCTCAAACAAAAATAAAAACAGTGGTTGTGGTCTTCAAAACCTGTGATTCGGATGCATTCAGAGGACAGTTGAATATGGTTTGTGTCAGTCTATATCAACTTGATACGGTCTGATAACCCTGAACGCTCCGCAGCTGAGATCCGACCATAATCCAAGCTCGGTAGGCCGAAGCTTCACAGCCCAAGGACTAATAACATGTAGCTCCTGGCATCGCTACTAGGAACAAGAAACTACTAGTAGACAGAAGCTAGTAGGTTGGAGGCCATCGCTATTAGGGTGGAGGCCATTCCTACTAGTAACAAGAAGCTAATAGTAACAAGGGCATCGCTACTATAGTCAGGACGCTCTATCTCTCTCTCTCTCTCCTTAAAAATCAGTCTTCGGTGACCCCCTACATGGTCCCTCAAGTGAACCATGTGTAAGAGGTTGTTCGATTTTGCTGGGTACCAACGTGCTTCTTTTTAGACACGGACGTTGTTGCCTTGACTCAAAATGACTCAAACTCCGACCCAGTCCACCAAAACCCACAACGACGTGGCGGTCGCAATCCTTTCAAACCAACCAGCCCCGCCGTGGCGGTCAACGATCGGGTCCTCTTGAAACAACGGCTGCCAGGCAAGCCAAAACGCCCCGCCTGCGGCGATGGGTCGCCAGCTGCGCATGTGGATTCCAACTACCACTGGGTCGATCGTTCCTCGAGGGGTCGATGTGGGTCAGTCCTAAGGAAGTTTGCAGCACTTGGACTTGAGCCACAATCAGTTGCCCCGGCGCAGAACGTGGGAAACGAAACGTTGACCAGCGCCGAGGTTTGATGATACACCATGGTTGGGGCCTTTTCGGA